TTCCTTGGATTCCTATTGTTTACATTGGCAGTTAGCCACTGCACCTCAGCTTCCCAGTTTTCAACCTTCCTTTGGTATCTTAGCCATCCTAGCATTCCTTTCCATAAGCATTGTGAATATGGACAATCGAAATACAAGTGATCATGTGTCTCTTCTATGTCTCTTCCACACAGTACACATGAATGAGCCACCTGAATTTCCCATTTTGCTAGTCTGTCAACTGTAGCCAGCCTTCTTTGTATTGCCATTCATAAAATGTATTGCTGCTTTGGTAGAATTCCAGTTAACATGACTAATGCTTTCCAGTGGACTTTGGGGTACCTTGGAGTAGCATGAAGATAAGACTTCTTAATGCTGAATCTCCCATTCTGAGCAAAGGATTCAATAATTGTTATGTCATAGCCCACCATCCTCTTGCTGTAAACAGTTTCCTTACTAGCCAATTAGCCTGCTTTGGAACCTCCATAGTATTGATTTCATTCTGGTTTATGTAATGGCAATGAATCCATCTAATCCAAAGCTTGTCTTTCTTAGCCATTATAGCCCAGAGGAGCTTAGTCAAAGCAGCTTTGTTCCATCTCTCATAGTTGATAATGTTTAACCCCCAACAGCTTTTGGTTTGCACAATGTTTCCCATGCTATAGGAGCTCTGTGAGTATTATCATGACTGCCAGTCCACAAATAACTTCTGCAGATATCATTAACAAATTTAATAACTTTCTTTGGAATAAGGAATACTTGAGCCTAGTAGGGAAAAAAAAGGGTAAATGGAAAAAAAAAATACTTTTAACCTAAAAGAAACTTGGCGAAACAAGCTATAACACACTTAGTGGTGGCCAACTGGGTAAATAATAATATCAATCGATATTATCCACTAAAATACGAGTTGGTAATGAACTTTTTAAAAATGGGCCAAATATGGATAAAATTTATATTATCCACTTAAAAATAGATACTTAATGAATAAGTAGTTGATTTAACTTTTACATTTATAAAGACTCATATTAGGGGTTCCTCCAATTTGGGAGATAAAAAATTCTTCCAAAAGCGACCACGTTCAAGAAGCCATACCCATAATATACACTGATTAATCTATTTTCAATCTGTATTAAATATGGGCAGTCAGATACTTTATCTATTTTTACATTACCATTTCAACTCACCTATATTCGATCCGACCCGCCCGCTGCCTCTAATCACACTGAAGCTTGGTGCTTGCAATGGAGCATTTTCGGCATTGGATCTTATTCATCTTTTGGGCCTCTTAACACTTGCATCTCTTAATTTTGGGCTTCATCATTAAACCAGCCCAAAATGCATCAATAAGTGGTACCTCAACGCTAAAGAAGTATTACAAATTTTAAATCAATGGATCTGAGTAGCATCCACTGCTCCTTTGTGATACTTGATCGTGGATCTGGCCTAACTATATATTATTATTTGTGTTAGTGCTATCAGATATACATTGCTGAACTTTATCCTGCCAAAAAATATTCAATCTCATTCCATTCTTAGAATCACATCCAATAATAATTTCGCAAAATCCAATAGACAACAAGGCAAATGAGGATCAAATTTACCGAGGATTGAGTCGTGTCTGGTCCAAAGCGGTCCTTCATTATAAGAGTCTGAACATCTATTTCTGAGCTTTAAATATCCTTTCGAGTTAGATCTTTAAAAAAGGTTAAAGCTAAAATAATAAAATAATATTTAAAGCTTTAAAAAAGATGTGATTTTTACCAAACTTACGTGAAAATAGCATGGGTTAGTTAATTTTTAGTCTGATAATCGAAAAATAGTCACCGTTTGCAAAATTATTAAAATAGAGCCACTATTTTATGCGGAGATAAAATCTGGACAAAAATACCCTAGTTGAAACATGAAAAAATTCTGCATAATATGCTGGATTATGGAGTTTCTGCGCATAACTTCCAACATATTATGTTGGAACTCCAACATATTATACTAGAATTTTTTCAGATTATTAAGAGTGTTTTTGTTCATATTTTATCTGTACATAGAAAAGTGACGAAATTTCGATTACTTTTAAAATTGTGACTATTTGTTAACTACCAATTGCAAATTATGTTATTTCTGATTTTTTCCTCAAAATTACGAATATGAAATATTTCTTTTGTCTTGGCCATTACATGAAATCCAGTAATCATGCTTGGGAAATGAATTGTTTTTTTCCCGATTTTTTTGGGTCAAACGTCTACTGTTTGGTAAAATTCAACCCAACTTTTAAACCAAATATTTTGGCATACAATACATCTCTCTAGAAGATTTTAGAGGTCAACTGTTTTTTTTTTTTTTTTTTCTCATTTTCTTTGTTGCTATAAGCAAACCCAAATTTATGACATGGATTTCATAATTCTCTGTGTAAGATATTTATATTGCTTTAGCCAAACATGGATGAGAAACCTTTGTTCGAGGATCGACTCAGTCAGAAATCGATTCATCCAAGAATAGGTCATTCGGAGTTACCTAATCTTACTTTATATTAATCTTCAAAACAAATATACAATATGCTACCTAAGATGTCATAATAGAAAAGAAGGCCAAAGTACAAAGGCTCCTACCACATCAAACGTAGTCCGTGGCATTTATCAAACAATTTTCACGTGGCCAGTGAAGTGCAGAGGAGGATCTAGGAGTTTGAAGGTTGCATGTGTATTTTTCGATTCAATCAAAATTTGATTTGCATACAGAGTGTCCATTACTGATATATCACTATTTTTTAACGACATATTCATATATACACAGAATTTTCGCCGAATTTTACGGATGCCGGTTACGCCTCTCTGCATAGTAAAGGTCCACCTTTGGTGAAGTGAATCTAGATTTTAGACTTTTCACGTGGGTATTATGCTTGTCTCATAGGTGAATCTAGATTATAGATTTTTCACGTGGGTGTTATACTTATCTCAGAGGTGAATCTAGAATTTAGATATTGAGATTTTCGAGTTGAGAAAGTGATTTAAGAAAATTATTTTATCTCCTAGTGTATTTGATTGTACGTATTTGGAGTTGAATATCGATTTAAATATATTAATGACTCGAAGTTCACACCTTGATAAATAATGATATAATGTATGGCCAAACATTCATTCATACAAATTGCTCAAATTATAGAAAAATTCACACTTCCAATCTTTTTATTTGGTTTTCTAAGCAGACAATTAGACGGTTAATATTTAGTTGGATCTTTCCTAATCATACATATGAGTTACTAACCTTTTCCTTAGCTCAATGATTTTCCACCTACACAAGCAATACTCTTAACATTCAAGCAAACGCATTAAATTTCTGAGCTACTATAAATGACTAGCATCCAAACTGCACAATTTGATGAAATCAATACAATCTTTGACTATTGAATCAAACCAACCTCTCATTGAAAAACTCACCTGCACTAAAATCCAACTATTGGAAGTTTTACATGTGTTTTCATTGACTTTAAACTTTCCAATAAGAAAAAGAAGCTCAGTGCAGAAGGTATTCTATGTTCACGCAGGATCCAGGGAAGCGCCGCACCCTAGGGGTGTGATGTAGACAGCCTAACCTAATGCAAGCATTAGTGGCTGCTTTTACGGTCCGAATCCATGACCTATAGGTCATGCGGAGATAACTTTGCTAATTTTTTCAATACAAAGGAATTAGAATTAAAATTAAAATGATAATTAGATAGAGATTTAATAGTAGTTGTTGTCTCTTTTCAACCACTTTCCTATAAAGGGATTTAGTAAAGGGCATTTGATTAGATCCTTCTTGATGACAAAATATACGTTTCGGTGAACCACTTTTCTTATGATGTGTCAACTAAGTTCTTGTTTGGCCACACCAATTAAACAAATAATTATTTTGCCAATTCAATTCTGTTCAATAATCTTTTCATCCAACTTAAAATATTTAGACTTTTAGACTTAGCCATTAGCTTTTTGTCTCTTTCTAAGCTCCTTCGATCATACAAATTTTATAATATTTGTGTAATGTTAAAGTACGTAGCATATAAACCATTTCAAATTTGTTGGAAAGTTAATTTATATTGATAAGAGTCTTCCTTCTGACTTTTTACGGTTGCTTATGAGACGTCATTATCATTTATGATTAATAATTAATTGTTGAAAAATTAAATATAAGAATTAAATAATCGCATCAGCACATCCTTGTGTTTATAATATGGTCAATAGAAAAGGGGAAAAAGCCAGCAAATGCAGACTTTGTCAACGTTTTGGCCAATTTGCTAGAATAAGAGCCCTGAAAAAGTAAACTAACTCAGCTACCTCCACGATAATATGCCTATTAGTACACGTAGATATATCATGATTTAAACAAAAGTTCTTAAATTATTTGAAAATATGGTTTTGAACCTTAATTTTTATAGAGTTTTGAAGAATTAATTCTCTCTCACACACACATATATCTGTAGCTTTTTCTAAAAATAATGAGTTTATAGGTTCGCTTCCTTTGTTAGGGCACACGTAAAATTAAAATAAATTTCGGGAAAATGATACATTATAGCGGCTCTCAAAATAATAGCCGAAAAATGTATATTTTTTTGTATGTATATACGTTTTTGTATGTTATATACAAAAGATATACTACAAATTTTACACATTTTTGCAGCTACCGGATGTAAATAGTGTCTGTCGAGGGCTAAAAGTGATCTTTGCCCTAAAATTACACCTTCACAAGGTTATGGAGTTATCTCCTTTCTATGTACAGTCAAACCTCTCTATAACAACCTCGTGTTTTCCGGATATTTTTGGATGTTATAGCGAATTGTTGTTATAGAAAACATATATTATAATAGAACATGAGATTTGGTTCCAAAAAAATTTGGCTTTTATAGAGAAGTGCTATTATATAAGGATGTTGTTATAGAGAGGTGTGACTGTAATTTGGTTTAGGTGAAGGGTAATTTTGTCATTTCCTGCATTAATTACCACCCAGAAAAGAGCTTAAAATACCGGGAAAATCAACTACTCCCCTTTTGAAAGTGTCAGCAAGAAAACCATATACCAAATCCAAGAAAGAGAGCTTTTCAACTACAATGCTCAAAATAAGGCAAAACACAGCTTCTAATTTCAAACTCATTTCAGTTCCATCCAAATTAGAAAATGGCTGCCATTTCTTGGCTCTCAATGATTCTTTATCTCTTCATTCTTTTCATTCTTTCTATTATTCCAAAATCTTCTTGCCAATCATTGTCACCGCAAAATGTTGAAACTTTCTATCCCTTTCCTTTACCAAATCTTCTCCCTCCTCCTATTCCACCCGTTCAACGGCCACCACCATCTCCGCCTCCGCCTCTGCTTCCACCCCCTACACCGCCATTGGACACGCCTGCGCTGCCGCCTTCTGTGTTAGCACCAGATTCATCATCAAAGAAAGCTGTTGGAACAGCTATTGGTGTTACTGCTGCTAGCACTATTGTTTTATCTGCCCTTTTCTTCTTCTTTTTGGTTAGGTACTCGAGGCGTAGAAGAAAGCAACGAGAAGATGGCGCGAGTAGTGATCCACGGGGTACTGGTGCTACCCCTGTGGTTGCAAAAGATGAATTCTTGAAATTTGAAGGAAATCTTAAAGGGGTAATTGTAGATGAAAATGGATTGGATGTGCTTTATTGGAGGAAACTAGAAAGTGGAGAAGTTAAAGAAAGTTTCAAGAAAAAACAAGTCTTTGTTAATGCACTAAAAGATGAAGAAGAAGAGAAAAGAATGATTAGTAGAGGAGTTGGTGGTAGGAGGAAATCAGAGCATCCAATCCAAGAATTGCCTCTGCTTAGAGGCAAATCTTCAACATCTCAAAGTCCTTCTTGGCTTGAACTAGAAAATAAACAACCAAGACCTTCTGCTGGCATAGTTTTTAACCCTATGGAGAAACAAGACTCTTCTAGCCAACTCGAGTCACGAGCTCTGCCTCCAGCTCCTTCACCACCGCCACCACCACCACCATTGCCTGTGACAGCAATTCAAAAGGCTCGTAATCCTCCACCTCCACCGCCACCAGTGATAAGGAAAGGCCCTCCACTACCCCCACCACCTATTAATCCTAGTGGCTTGCCTTCATCATCAGGTGAAGGCACTTCTGGTAGTGGAAATGATAAAGTGAAACTGAAACCATTGCATTGGGATAAATTGAATGCTAATGTTGATCATTCAATGGTCTGGGACAAACTCGACCGTGGTTCCTTCAAGTAAAGATCTTTCAACTCTCCTATTTCCTACTAATTTCCTCAACAAGGTATGTTCCACTATCTAATTTGTACTGAGTCCTTGTTTACCTTTGTATGCAGGTTTGATGGAGATCTTATGGAGGCTTTATTTGGATCTGTTGCTACAAATAAGAAGTCCCCCGGAAGAGAAAGGAGATCATTGAGTCCAAGAGAAGAAATATCAGGTCCACCATCTCAGATATTCATTCTTGAAACCAGGAAATCCCAAAACATAGCGATTGTACTCAGGACCCTTGGTGTTACTCGCAAAGAGATCATCGATGCACTAATCGATGGACAAGGTCTAAGTGTTGAGACTCTAGAGAAACTGAGCAGAATAACCCCAACAAAAGAAGAAGAATCAGAAATTCTTGCATTTGAAGGAGACCCTACAAGGCTAGCTGATGCTGAATCTTTCCTCTTCCATATCCTCAAAGCTGCTCCATCCGCCTTTACTCGTTTCAATGCCATGCTTTTTAGAGCAAATTATGGCGCTGAAATTCTGCACCAGAAAGAGTACTTGCAGACACTGGAATTGGCTTGCAAGGAGCTTAAGACTCAAAGATTATTCTTGAAACTTTTGGAAGCCATTCTAAAGGCGGGGAATAGAATGAATGCTGGAACTTCTAGAGGAAATGCACAAGCATTTAAGCTTACTGCTCTCAAGAAGCTCTCTGATGTGAAAAGTATGGATGGTAAGACCACATTGCTTCACTTTGTTGTGCAAGAAGTAGTCAGGGCAGAGGGCAAACGTTGTGTGACTAATCGTAATCAGAGTTTGAGGCGTAGCAATAGCCAGAGTAGTGGGAGCAGTGCCATTCCAACCTCAAAGAATGCTACTGAAAATGATGAGACAGAAAAGGAGTATATGATGCTTGGTTTACCGGTGGTCGGCGGCCTAAGTTCTGAGTTCACTAATGTAAAGAAATCAGCTGCAATAGACTATGACTCGCTCTCTAAGACGTGCTCAATGTTAACAGCTCAGACATCAGAAATCAGGAGGCATTTAGCACAATGTGGCAGTGATAAAGGATTATTTGGAAAAGAGATGAAAAAGTTTCTGGATGCTGTAGATAAAGAAATAAAAGCAGTGAGAGAAGAACAAGATAGAGTGATGGAACTTGTAAAGAAAACAACAGATTATTATCAAGCAGGAGCTTCAGATGATAAAGGGTGGCAACCACTTCAACTATTTACCATAGTTAAAGATTTCTTAGAAATGGTTGATCAAGTTTGTGTAGAAATTACAAGAAACATGCAGAAAAAGAAACCCCTTGTAGCTGTTACAGGATCATCATCACCGGGAATGGCGAATAATAGGGCTGTTAGATTCCCAAAATTGCCTGCTAATTTCTTATCAGACATTTCAAAGAGCAGTTCTTCTTCTGATTCTAGTGATGATTCATGAATACCAGACAAAGAAAATCTGAAGGGATCAAGCTCTGTACATAGAGAGGAAACTATAATGTATTTGAAGTGTACACAGATTTGTTTCACTAATGATTTCAACTCTGAGATTCTTTTTCAAGTGTTTCATAATTATGTGAAATGAATTTCAATTTTTTTTCCTTATCCACAAATGTTCTTCTCCCAAGATTATCCAGCTGGAATTTTTTATGCAGATGGTGAAATTAAAAATATCTGAAGTAGAGGGGTGTGTTACTCTGTTGCCATTAAGTGCACCAAGTTACACCATAAACCTTCTAACAATCATTAATGTGTTTTTAAGGAAGTTGAACTACATCCACCTAATGAACAAGACTGTCAAATCCACACTTTCAATATGCAAATAGTTATATAGAATATTTAAGGCTTCCGTCATAAGTACAAAATTGTACTGTGTGTTAGAGTGTCCCACATTAGTTGAGCAAATGGGTTGTGATCTCCTTAAATGGTCTTGGATAATCCTCATCTCACGAGCTAACTTTTGCAGATTGAGTTACAGAGTTAGGTCCAAATTCATTTTCGTGATATGGTATCAGAGTCAAACCATCCCTATTCTTGGTTTACCCAATGTCAGCTACCATGGAATATCTCCATACACCAAATGTCCAGTCCTTGGGTGTGCAAGGGAGGGAGGTGTTTGAGTATCCACATCGGTTGAGGTTATGGGTTCTTGTCTCCTTATATGGTCTTGGACAACTCTCACCTCATGAGACATCTTTTGAAGTTGAGTTTGGCCAAGGTCCATTTTCTTAAATATGCATCTAAGAAGGTAATATTCAATGCACAGGCGATAAGCCGCTTTATCACACTTTTGTTCTTGCTTGAATAGAAAAGGTAAAAATTGTTCTACCACACTTCTGTTCTCGCTTGAATAGAAAAGCTAACAATGAATGCACAGACGAGAAATAATAGTTTGGATATTACGTATTTCTATAAAATCCTAATCATCAATATACAGAAACAGGAACTCCCACCTACGGAAACCTTTTTCATTCCAGAAATGTTTTATCAAGCTGGTTGTGTTCATCATATGTTAGGCAAGCATATTCTTGACTATTGTACAGACTTCCTTATGGTTTAGACCATTTGACATGGAAACCAAGGTCCAAGGGTATCTATTTGACCTCTTTACCACTAGCCAGACGACTCTTCTCTTCTTCGACCTGCTCAAGCAATACTTGCAATTCTGCTTCTGTTAAGCTCTCCAATCTTTTCTGTAAGTCAATAAAAGTTAAGGCTCAACTCCACAGAACAATCACAGAATAACTTGTGATTACTTAAAGGATGAGCATAAATATGAGAATGATGAAAATAATCCCCTTAAACTCTCAGGTGACATTGATTTTAAATTAATCAATACTCATATAAAAAGGTGGAAGACAACTATACAACCCCCTTATGCTGTTCCATTTTTCCCTAATATGATACAATCTAGTTGAGGACAATGTGAGCAGCTGAAGAATTACCAAGGGTTCTAGAATGAATTAATTTGGTTGAACATCAAATGCTACATTTTATAGGGATAGTTCAGATGTCTACTAGAAAGTTTTACACTAAACCTCCTTTAGAAAATACAAAAAATCACTGAACTTAAATTCACAACACAGAAAAAGATAACAGCTGCAAGACTAGTAAATTGATTTTAAAAATGGGAGACATAAGAAAATCAACTAAAATATATGGTTAAATTTGGTGTGACATTTGCTAACTAAGTAGAGCTTAGGAGCGTCCCCTGTAATGTTCAACCTTTGTGCGTCTGATGAATATGTTTCTTAAAACACTGTTCAGCAAATAGAAGACATGTCATACTTAAGATGTGAAACAGAAAGAATGCTAATCAAAGTTACTGTACCTCCATGACTTTGCTTTCATAGTCTCGTAATTGTTGAGCATATGTCATTTCCTTGTTTGAAACCCGGAAGATGTATGTTGATATCCATCCAACTGTTAGACCCAAAACCAGGACTAACTGAACTACATTTCCAGCTTGTAAAGGATCAAATCCCAAGAACTGCATAAGATGTTTGAATCAGAATTATTACAAACAAGAGAATATATTGAACAGGCACACGTCGTCCAACCCCCCCCCCCCGTCCTCTCCCCACCACACACACTACCCAACAGAAAAGAGTACGGAAAAAGAAATAGAAGTAATATGAGACAAAAGAAATAGATAGGCAGAAATCAGGTCCATCATTCATATACACCTTAGATAACATAAACTCTCACTTGGATAGGGAACACATCATATATCAGCAATAACAAGGGCAGTACCTATGTATTTATCACCCAAAGTAGCCTTTCACAAAGTGCAGAAGCATTTACGTTCAATCAAAAAAGATGAACCATATGTGTAAAAAGACATTGAAGATGTGTAAGAAAAATCGTAGTACCTCTAATCCACTCTTTAAGCCATACCCTAGAAGGGTAACTCCAACGCCAATCAATATAACATCCTTTCTTGTATAGCCAAATGGTGTCTGCATTAGCATCAAATCGTTGAAATGACCAAGAACAAGAAGGACACACTTCTAAATGATAATTCAAAATAGAGGACATTGCTAAATGATAATGATAGAAGTTTCTTCACCGTTGAAGAGGTAACAAAGAAAAACGTATGAATTTTCTCCGAGCTGATGATGCAAGAATCAGAACAGCAGATTCATATGCATAATACAGAAATGCAAAATTCAAACTCTAAACATGCCTTATTCTGGCCAAGAGCTTCATCGCTACTGTCACTCGGTTTTGAGCTGGCTCTGGTGATTATAAGTGGAACTTTCTTCAAGCCCGTGTTGTAGGATACATTCCTCAGGGAAGGGGAAATTCCTACTCTGAGATGTCTCTGGGAGTTAGTTATTTCTGCAAGTAGGAAAAAAGTATAACAAACAATTTCTTAATCAAACAATTGAGACTCGAACATCAAAGTTGAACAAACGGTTCCTCAACAAATCCATCAGATTCTCAATACTATTCAGAAATAAATATTTTACCACAAATATCTACGAAATGCAAGAAACGTGATAAGGAATTTGTTGAAAGCACTCACATTCTTGGGATAAAATCTTTTGCATAAATTTAAATCTTGATGTAAGCTTTTTATAGGTATATATAGCATCACCTACAACTATAATTTCATTGGATGAATTCACCAGCCTATTCTGAACCTGCTCTAATTTCATATAAACAAGCATAACAAATATGACACATCAGATTTGGGAGAAAAAAGAATCTCTCCTCCCATTCTTCATCGCAAAGATGTTACCTTGAAGCTGAAATCTTCCTTTTCACTTGATAAACCTTTTTCTTCAGTAAAGAAGCAATCTTATCATGAACATATAATACTTCTTAGTCCTTAAACAATAGCTGCCGATTCTACAAGATCACAAATGCTACTATGTAATATTTCCAAAGGCTTTTCTGCATATAAAGCAATTCAGATAGAAAATGGCCGAGCAAAAGCAACCAAACTTTATTTTGATCAATTAGCCCTTGTTAAATTTAACTCTGCCTATGTGAGTTTCCCAAATCATAGGAAGTGAGTTAGACAAAAAGAAAAGCAACTTGGACAAAAAAGGAGTGACTTGGATAAAAAGAAACGAAGTGGCTTAGACAAATCTTTTTAGTCGATAACCTCAGGCCAATCAATTGAATATTGATTTATATGGAACAAACCATATAAATAAGTGGAGTTGTGGTATGTTGACCACCAATATAAAAACAGAATCTTCTAAAAGTAAGAGAATTTATATAGTCGATCTCAACTAGTTTGGTATTGAGTCCTATTTGATTGATGGAGTGATCAGGAGCACACTTGAGTGTACTAGTTATAGGTTCATCACAACCCAGTAGCTTTTGCTCAAACCCTGTAGATATGTGAAGAAAATCAACTAAATAAGTACAAATAATAAATTTCGAACCTAAAAAAATCAAATGGGCTGCGGTGGAATTTTGAATTGAACCCATAAAGTTAAAATCCTAATTACACACATTTGTTTAATATATGAAAAAACCAAGATACAACACATACGCTCCAATGAAACCATTTTTTAAGTAAAGGGTGATTAGGAAAATGAGAATGACTCACCTGGTCTCATTCTTGGCTCCATCAAAGGAAAAGAAGAAATACCCATCGAAGAAGATGCTTTAGTTTTGCATAAAAGGCTGTTATACACACCAGCATACGCTGTTGAAGCCATTGTTTACCTCTTCTACTGGAGAGTGAACTGAAAAGTTCTCCTATGAAAAAAAGAAGAAAGAGGGAACCAATTAAGTTGTTTTTAGAACTAAGACTTGAGTGGCTCAAAGTGGAGCAGCCGAGCAACAGTTTTAACCGCTTGTTATCCTCTAATTAGTTTAAATATCTTTTGTTTTCTGGGTCCATGATCTGGGTCGGGTCACGGACTCTCGGGGTGGGTGGGTGCGGATAAACGGATCAGGTTTGGCAAATGAAATTTGGTAGTATGAGTTTCTATTCCGGAGTCAAATAAGATCCATATAGCAGTACTGCTACTAGTTAAGGATTTTTCACTCTTAATATTTCTTGTAAAGTAGTGTAATAGTTTTTCCCTTCTTTTTTCTTCCACTTGTTCATTGTAGTGGTCAAAATTAGCACGTACCTGCCCCAAGACTGGCTAATCTCAGACTAATCGTATGGTATTATATAAAAATCTAATGTTCGAATCTTTTTAAGTGTCACATTACACGATTATGGGTGAAAATATTTTCGTGAAAGATAAGTGTTTTTTTTTATTTATTTTCTGGTGTTTGTTTAGGTAGCAGAAAATATTTTAAAAAACTATATAATTTAGGCAAACACTATATGAGACGAAATCAAAGGCGGATCCAGAATTTCAAGATGATAGGTGCACTAGTGGATCTAAAATTAAATTTGACGGGTTTATTGAGTCTTTTACCATGAACCTACTACACTTTTGAAATTGTAGGTTCCAAATTATATTCTTTTTGAAATTTTAGTGATTTTTCACATATATATCAATTCTCAGTGTCGAAAATAAGACCGTCCAAAGTGGGATTTGAACTGCCAATTTTACTTGTAGAGGTGCACCCAATAATTATTGAATAGGAGTCTTTAAGCATGGGAGCACGCACATATATTTAAGTAATTTCATTGTTATACATGGTTTAAGGAGAGGAGCATGGGTTCACGTGAACTCATACCCCTTAACTTAAATACGCTCCTAGACAAAATAGGTAAGGACGAGGGAGGATGGTAGGTCGAGGTCTAGGGACCGGAGTGGCGGTGGAAATGTTGGAGGTGGGAGTAAGGAATAGGTGGGAAGGTCGAGAAAGAGTTTTGGAAAATATTTTCTCTCCTTTCGAGGGAAGTCATTTTTCGCTAATTGGAGGAAAATAAGTTCATGAAAAAAATATTTTTCAAAATATTTAAACCAACCAAACATGAAAAAATTAAAAATCAGACCAAACACACTCATAGTGATTGACATTTGAGATGTTTTATCAGTATTAGCTTTTCTCCTCCCTACAAAAGTTAGCTATGAAATGTTTGAGTATGACAGTAACGAGAAAAATTAAGCTGGAAAAATTTCTTTATGGAAGTTCTCTTTTAGAACCAAATTCACTTGAGATAAGAGATACTACTACTTAGAAAACAGTGACTTCAAATGATTTGCAACTTCACACCACTCTGAGATGTTCCTTTCTTTCTTTGCAATGATTGCGCCAATCAAGACAACTGTAAGAGGCAATCCATAACAATATTATGCAACTTGTAGTCAACGCCCGGATAATTATGTCACATGAACTTGTTAACATAATTCCGTGTCCATTTCCACCAATTGGAAAACACAATCTCAACTCATCCCGTACCTCGACTTCCATATATCATCTAAGACAATGAGATATCTTTTGCCTATCAAACATTTGCACCAACATATCAGCTATATCATCACTGGGATGCACATGGTGCTTAACACCTGTGACTTGCCCAGAGATGTCAATCAATAGCTCTCTCAGATTATATGTTTACCATGCTCGAATATCAAAGCAAGAAACAATAGAAGAACCTTTGAATATCTTTTCGGCCAAAGTTGTCTTCCCTAGACCAGGCATGCCAACAATAGAGATAATATCCAAATTCACTGTTCCTCTAGTTAGTAGATGAATTGCTTCTCAGCATCATCCTCAAAGCCCACAGGTTTCTCTTCAGTTATTTGAATACATTGTCTAGAAGTTGGAGCATTCTCATTGATGTTAACGTCCTCCATCCTAATAAGCTTTGATCTATTTTCTGATTGTTCAGGTGGAAATGCTTGATGCCAGAGAGCAGTGTGCCTAACATGAATAAGAGAAATGACATGGTCAATCTCCAGTAAGAATTAAAAGCCAAAACTTGTGGAGGAAGAAGTAAAGATCAGAAAAAAAAAAAAAAAAAAAAAACAAGCTGCAAACAAAGGAAATGCTCCAGTTAGACTTTATACAAAGATTAGGATTTCTAAATTCTCTGACAGAGAGTTGCAGATTGCCTGTTATAGCAAAAATAAGCCTCTTGGATTCTTTTATTTAAATGTTCTTTATTTCTTTTATTCTCAGTCCAGTTCATGAAAAGCTAATCAAAAGGGAAGAAGGATTGGGATTTCTTTGACTTCTAGGAAAAATTAAAGAAAACAGAACTCAAGGTACAAGTACAATAAAAAAGCAGTTCAATAGAAATGTAAGTCATAGAGGTACTACTCCTGTCCTAATAGGCTTGACTTTTTCTTATTCTTTCTGTAAGAAAAGGTTTACATTTTTCTTTTAGTTGTAAGAATCCAATTACACAAGATTGAGACATCACACAAAAGTGTAGTTCTTGATCTTCTTATCCACATCAAAATACTCAAAAGTAGGATTATCAACATTCTCAGTCCCTTAAAAGAATCTATATCCCCAATTTCTAGCATCAAGAATTATTTATTATCTCAATACATAATTTGCAAACTGGGCTATTTCTTTTCCACACAAAGCTTAAAGATTTCCAGCCTGACAACATAAATATGAGGACGAGGTGAGCGCTGCTTGAGATCCAGTGACAAGACTGTCTTTTGTCCAAGAGAGTAGCATCACTAACAGAAAATCTGTCCGTCCAAAAAATAACAGCTTTGACATTGGCGACTTCATATTTAGCTCTAAAAATTCAATTCCAGAAGCACAATTATCATCAGTCCAGTTAACACAGAAGAAACCAGGTTGTTACTTCTAATGTTGGATTACCCAAGCTGCTGCCCCAGTCTTTGGTAAAATAGAATTCATCCGACTCATGAATCAATGAATTAACCATTCAAAAAAGGAGTATTCTCTTATCCGTCCTCTTTGACAATGTCTATTATTGCAAACCAAGTTTCTCTTCCTTCATGGTGGGTTGAATCTGTAGGGCCAAGACTTAATTAGAAGGCGGATACTTCAATAAAAATCCCTGGCTTTAGCTACATTCTGGTGAAGCAGTTTGGAAAGTAGTATTACCTTCCCTGTTATAGGTGCAAATAGATTAGCCAAGTTACTTTTAATTCGCCTCAGTAGAAATCTGATTGATGCTTTGAACCACCAACCACTTGAACAAACATGGTAAGCCAGATTTTACGGTCATTGCCGTCTCCAAGAAACTCTAAAAGTGATTGCAATGAAGATGGCAGAAGTCTATGAGGCGCCTGCTCTTAAGATAACTCTGTCACAATATATTGAAGAGCTCCAAGAATCTCTCCGTCTCAAGAATAAGAGCTAAATATTAGGAGTACGTAAATAGTATGCCTATCGCATAACGTTAGGCGCCTCATAACATAACTCAGTCACAATATATTGAAGTGCTATAAGAACTTCGCTGCGGAATAAGAGCTGAAAACATTAGGACTTCATAAACAGTATGCCTCTCACATAACTTTCTAAGCAGTTACAATAGACTAACCTTTCCACCAACGGCAAGGAAGAAATATGGTACAAAATTAGAAGTTACAGATGAAAAAATCAAAAGGCTATAGAAGTTAAGGCCAGATGCAAAGACAAGACGATTGACTAGTTTATCAGAGAGAGAGAGAGAGAGAGAGAGAGAGAGAGAGAGAGAGAAGAAGAAGAAGAAGAAGAAGAAGACAGAACTAATTACTGAAGATAAGAAAGAACACTAGGTTATTTCTGCCCATTTCTACAAGCCGTGATGGATAAAGTTACCTGGTACTTGTTGCCGATGGGAGGTAGCACGTATCTCGTGGAATTAGTCGAGGTGCATGTAAGTTGGCCCGGACACTACGATTATCAAAAAAAAGTGAGAAGAATAAGGGACAAGCGAACCTTGCGATCATGCGATGTTATCAGTAGAGCCCATGCCTGTGTTCGTGGTGTTTCTTCATGAAACAAGTTTCTGCCCACTCTCAGGATAGAGTTACCTGGTACCTGTTGCTGGTGGGAGATAGCAGGTATCTCGTGGAACTAGTCGAGGTGCATGTAAGCTGGTCCGGACACCACGTTTATCAAACAGAATAAGAAGAATAAGGCACAAGCGAACTTGGCAATCATCCGATCTTATCAGTTGAGCCCATGCCTGTGTTCGTGGTGTTTCTTCGTGAAATAAGCTTCTGCCCCACTCTATTCACTATGCTCAATTCTTTGAATGCCAACACTTAAACTGCAGACATAAATGCTCCAAAAATCAATAGGGGTTTAATAGCTTTGTCTTCTTATTAGTCACAGGCTCATAGCAAGGAATGCTGCAAATTCTCAGCAGGATACTGCACATGACATTTTCCTTCAAATGATTTAAAATCCAAAATAGACAGCTCGGTCCAAATTCTTCGTGTAACCAAAATTTATAATTTGAGAAATCACTATGAGGAAGTTGAGCCCATCCTGCTATAAGCGGGTTCCTTCCTTATATTATTCGTTTCCATCAACACTCTGATTTCATTTGCATCATCCCACCTTCCAGCATCGGCATACATGTTATATAGCAAACAATAAGGGCCTGAACTCTCCGGTTCCAGGCGCATTAGCGCTTCAGCTGCTATTCGCGCAAATTCAACATTGTTGTGCACCCTACAAGCACCTAATACTGCACCCCAGACAGCCTTATCTGGTTCCATTGGCATAGTGTTAATCACTTTCATGGCCTCCTCAAGTTGTCCGTCGCGGCTAACAATATCTACAAGGGAGGCAAAATGCTCAACCTCAGGTTTGATGCCAAATTCATAGTCCATTGATTTAAAATATAACCGACCTTGTTCCACTAAACCAGCATGAGCACACGCATTCAGAACTGAAATGAACGTGATGCGAGTTGGCCTCACTTTAAGGCGCTTCATTAATTCAAAAAGCTCTAGGGCTTCAAATGCAAAACCATGAGATGCATATCCTCCAACCATTGCATTCCATGAGATTACGTCTTTTTGAAATATCATATTATCAAAAATTTTCCTTGCTTCATGTATTGCACCACATCTTGCGTACATAGTTATTAGGGAATTGTTTAAAGGTATATCTGGTATAACAGTCTTTGACACTAACTGATGAATCTGCATACCCAGAAACAAAGCCACAGTTTCAGCACAAACACTTAGAAGTGAGGAGAGTGTGTGTCTGTCTGATTTCTCTCCTGCCTGTTGCATCTCCATGAAAAGCTTTATTGCTCCTTTGTAGTCTGCATTTCTTTCATACCCAGAGATCATGGAATTCCAAGAAACCCGATTCTTCTGGGGCATCCTTTCAAAATAATCACGGGCCAATTCCAACTTCCCCGTCTGTGCATATCCAGAGACTATTGAATTCCATGATAGTACATCAGGATTCCGCATTTTAGAGAACAGGTTTGATGCTTCATCCATATTTGAGGCATGAACATAGCCACTAACCATTGTGTTCCATGAAAATGTATCCCTCTCGGTCATCTGGTCAAAAAGCTCTCTTGCAGAAACCATATCTCCTGCTTTGATATAAGCCATGATCATGGAATTCCATGATACCACATTTCTCTCAAATCTCTTCTTTCTGCTAATTCCTTGACCACTACTATAAGAAGGAACTTTATCAAAAAGGCGTCTAGCATCACCAACCCTTCCTTTCTGACCATATCCAGCAATCAAAGTGTTATAAGCATGAATCAAATCTTCTTTCCCATCATTGCTTTCTCCAAATTCATAAAGAACATTTTCAGCCTCATCCAATTCCTCATTCTGGATCAAACCCGATACAAGTGCACCAAGAGAAGCTGAATCCCTCTCCGGCATTCTCTTGAAATATTCAACAGCAGTTTTCACATCCCCGTTACGCAAAAGTCCAGAAATAACCGCATTCCAGGACACAACATTGTTATCAGGCATACAGTTAAAAAGCTTCAGTGCTTCATTCATTTTTCCAGCTTTAGCATACCCACTAATCATCGTGTTCCAGGAAACGAAGTCTCTGCCAGGCATTTCATCGAACAATTTTCTACCTTCCTCCAAATGTCGGCAGGACAGATAACCAGAAATCATTAAATTCCAGGAGACAACATCTCTCTGCGGCATTTTATCGAACAGGTATCTTGCTTTTACAATCTCACGCTGTTGCACGTACCCACTAATCATTGAGTTCCACGTAACCGTATTTCGATGCGTTAACATACCGAATAATCTTCTGGCATCCTCTACTCGACCATTTCGAATTAAATTCGTGATGTTCTTGTTCACTCGACGTATGTCTGGAGGAGCATCGGAAATCTTGGTCGAACGACAACGTATTAGTTGACCAGAAACATTTGGTGTAATGAGATGGCTTAGCTGCCTTTTTACTACAGACCTCCTTAAGCTGCTTATATTCCGGCACCAAATTGCCATCGCCGAGACTTTTGATGCAGACAAGTTAAAAGGTTTTAGGCTATATCAGTTGTATTTGAGTCCTTATTAGATAATAAAATGTAATTTGTTACCAAATTCATTGATCTGTTTTGGTAAGCATTGTCTTCAATCCTCTCATAAAGAAGAAGAATACCTAGTGTTCAAAAATAAAGTGGGAAGTTGAACATTTTAACCAACGTCAAATTTTAAATTTGGTTGTAGAGATCATAATCTAATCTATACTATATTAAAAGTTGGTTAGTTTGCAATGTGGTTAAGTCAAGTGACAAGCTAAGAAGAAGAAGTCACTTAGCACTTTTATATAATCAATTTGTGGATTCTATTTGTATAACATTAATAAAGTAATTAATTGATATTCTTTTGTATCTAATTAATAATTAGATTTTTTTGAAAGGATTGTTCCATATCTATACACTATTGGAAACTTTATTACCCTCTCTACTCACATTTTAATTTAATTACATCATATATACAAATTTACCAATTATATACACTTTAGGAATTAAAGAGTATCCCTTTATATTAGGAATCAATTATTTCCATATCTATATGCGCTCTCTCTCTCCGTCTCTCTCTTGTGCTCTCTCTCTCTACGTTTCTCTCTATCTCTCAATCCCTAATTCCAGTAATGTAGAGCAAAGGAAAAGAGAGCAGCAATTCCATCAGTGACAACCATTAAAAAACTTTGAAGCTTTGAATTAGAATTTGGATTTTCAAAAAATATTATTTGTTTGAATTGGGTGTTGCAAACAATTGGGAATTCTCTCTACGTCTCTCTCTATCTCTCAATCCTTAATTCCACTAACGTAAAGCAAAGGAAAAGAGAACAGCAATTCCACTACTGACGGCCATTAAAAAGCTTTGAAGCTTTGATTTCGAATTTGGGTTTTCAAAAACCATTATTTGTTTGGATCGGGTGTTGTTGCAAACAATTGGGAATATTGTTTGGAGTTTATATCTTAATTTTGAGAGTGTTTTGGTGAAGATTAGACTTGATTTTAGCTGAATTTCAGATTGAAACTCGAAGAAGAAGAAGAAGAAGAAGAAGAAGAAGAAGAAGACATGACATACATTATACTTACGAAATTGTAGTAAAGTTGTAATAAAATTGTGGAAATATATATATATATATATATATATATATATATATATATATATATATAGAGAGAGAGAGAGAGAGAGAGAGAGAGAGAGAGTATGAAAGTTGAACAATATTGTATAAAAATTGTATTTAAGTTGTATAATATTGTTGATATATATAATTGGGTAGAAATAATGTACGAAAGTTATAGATAAGTTGTATAATATATAATTAGTTGTATGAAATTTATTTTTACTATGTATAAACCAAATACAAAATATACAAAAGACATATTGTATAAAATTTGTATAAAAATTGTATTGTAGTTGTATGATATTGTAGTTGTATATAACTTAGTAGAAATAATGTATGAAAGTTGTAGATAAGTGTATATTGTATATTTAGTTGTATGAATTTTATTTTTAGTATGTATGAAAGTTGTTGATAAGTTATAAATAAGTTGTATATTATATAATTAGTTGTATAAAATAAGTTGTACTCCTTCATAGCTTTCCAGGTATGGAAACTAATTTATGTAGCCCTAGCCATTAAACAAAAACAATTATTTCGTTTTTCAGTTCAAGTAGATGTTGCCGTTGTTCCATTTATATGATGTAGTTTGTTTCTCTTTAAGAGATCGTGGGACTAGTTTGACTAATTATATTTATGATGGTAGACAAGAAACCAAGTTGGTTTCCGATATTTTCGTATAAAGTGGGTTCCTGAAAATTTGTCAGAAAGCAGAAACTTGAGTCTTTTGTGATAAAATTTAATTTGTTGAAACGTTAATAGCATTACTGAGAATACGATGATTGAAGGTAAGGCTGTTTGGTGGGCCGGTCTGGGACCGGGACCGGACCGGGCCCGCGGTCCTAACGGGCTAAACGGTCCCGGCGGGCCGGTCCTGGTGGGCCGGTCCCTAAATGGGTAGGAAGCCCGTGACGGGCCGGTCGCGTACACGAGGCCCACGAGGCCGGGGCCGCTAAGCCCGGGACCGGCAGGCGGTCCTGGGCCGGTTCAACCGGGCCTAACGGGCTCCAACGGCTATTTTTTTAAAAATTTTTTTTTTTTTTTTAAAAAAAAATAGCCAACGGTTAGATTTTAAAATCTAGCCGTTAGCCTTTAATTTTCAACCGTTTGGAACTTTAAAAAATAGCCATTTGGCCCCCAAACTTTATATAATTATACTTTTCCCCAATTCTCAACTATAAATACCCCCTCATTCTTTCATTTTTACTCACCAATTCATCAATCTATCTCAATCTCTCTCAATCTATATCTAATTTCTCTTCTATAATTGCTTATTTTATTATTGCAATTTCGTGAAAAATTGTGAAGTTGGTGAATTGAAGTTTTCAAGTCTTCAAGTCTTCAACGATTTTCAATTTTCAAGAAGTTGTTCGGCAATTCGGTAAACTTGTTCCAACTCTTAACTTTTAAGAATATATTTTTGTGTGTTTAGTTTGCATAATTGTAATTAATATGGCATTTTCTTTGAAAAAAATGTTTGGTGGTAAGGGAAAAGCTAAAATTGGTGAAAGTAGTCTCCAACCTACTACCCTTCCCCCGGCTCCCCGACCCAGACCTATTACCCGTCCTGCTGCTCCTATTATTCTTGATAGTGATAACCCTTGTTTTCAAATTTCCGATAGTGAATTTTGCCATAATGTTGCACAAGGTGAACAATTAAATGAAGAAGTTATGAATGCTCTTTATCCTAATCAAACTATCTTAGAAAATGATGAGGAAAATGAGGATGTAGATGAAACCCAACCGAATTTAGATGATACACCTACTAGTCCTGTTAATAACCCAACTGATGCCCCGCCCGACCCACCTGTAGAAACCCCTACTTTTAATAGACAACCTTCTAAACGCCTAGAAACATCAATAGTTTGGAATTTTTTTACTCAAGTAAGAGAACAAAATAAGGCTAAGTGTAAAACTTGTGGGAAATTGCTGGCGCATAAATATACTGGAGACCGTAGCGGTACGGGTAGTTTGGCTAGGCACATACAAACACACCCTAGAGATAAAGTTAAATATTTACAAATGAAAGCGCAGCAAGAGGGGACAAGTGTAGATACTGCGGTTAACCCTAGTACAGGTTCAAATCTAGTTCAACCAGGAATTAACACTGTGACCGGTGGTATTTTATATTACGATCCTAATAAAGATCGTGAAGATTAGCAAAGATGGTTACTGTTATGTGCTTACCATATACTTTTCCTTCTAACCCTAATTTTGTGCATTATATTAGAAAAGTTTTTAATCCTACTTATAAAGGTTGGCCTCGCGCAACAGTTAAGCGCGATATTTATAAATATAAACATGAATATGAACAATATTAGCGGTATTTATTTACTCATATAACTAATCGGATTTCTATTACTACTGATATTGGTAGAAGTAATAATGACTGTGATTATCTAACTGTTACAAGTCATTGGATAGACGAGGAGTGGATAATGCAAAAACGCATTATTGCGTATAGAATAATTAATTCACGTCACACAGGTAAGTTTATTGCTAACACCGTTGCAGATATTTGTAGATATTTTTGCATTAGAGATAAAATAATGGCAATTTCTATGGATAATGCTTCTAGTAACACTAGTGCTATAGGCATACTTACAACAACACTAAATCCTGCATTTAGTAATTGTTTCCATGTGAGATGTATTTGTCATATTTACCATTTAATCGTCGGTGATGGTATGAGAATTTTAAATTTAGAAACTGAAAAGGTTAGAATGGCTCTTAATTGGCCTTTTTATTCAAACCGTAGAAGTAGACTTAGAGAGTATTTTAAAAAATGTGATGAATTTGGCCTTAGAGAAAGAAAGGTTCCTAAACCTTGTCCAACTAGATGGAATTATATGTACGAAAGTTTAGTAGTTGCATATGAATATAGAAACCCAATTAATGCAACGTTTAATGCTCGTGTTGGTGGTGAGGATGATGATGAAATCCTTACAAATCAAGGACGAATGTTAAAATTCTTATAGATTTTTTAGAACATTTTCAAATTGCTACAAA